AAAAAAAAAAAAAAAAAAGGAATCCGGAACACGCACACGTGCACAGACACACTGGGGCACTTGTGCAAGCAGTGGCTTAGAATGGGAGTCCCAATCAGGGCTCAGTCACGCATTTGCAGTCAACACACACTACACGACACAAATACGTATAAAAAAGGCTGACGTTTTATTTCCAGGTTGGCACATGTGTAAGGCACAGGGGCGAATGGCTTTGGGGTCCCGGAACCGGAAATGGAGAGGGGTGTGTCTGAGGTGACCCTGCCTCCACCACCCCCTAAGTGCACTTGAGACAGGACCAGTGGTGGTGGTTTCGGCCCAGGGTCCTGAAGGGTACCACTGGCTCTGGGGGGGAACCGTGGGGACAGTTCCCCAGGCAGGAACCTCTACTTTCCAGCTACCCAGGAGGGACCCTCTCCTCCTAGGGGGCTAGGCCAGCTCCAAAGTGCTTGGTGGCTCCCCAGGCTTAAGGGACCAGCCTGCCAGGGAGGGCTGGGGTCAGAGAGAGAAAAGTAAAATAAGAACAAGGAGAAGCACCCCCACCAGCGCGGCGATGGCACACCACTGTCGGCGGTCTGGGAACAAGAAGATCAGAGGTCACCGGGGGAGAGGGTACCACCTACAACCTGCCCCCACTAGGACTGACCTCGCCCCCGAGGGGACTCACCACTCGTCATGTGGGATACTTTGGCCAACTTCCTGAGGACCCCGTCCATGCGGGACTGGGTGTGGTCCATCTCTTGGGCGAAGGCATCCAGCATGCTGCCAAGAACAGGATGGCATCAGCCCCAGACGGCCCAGACACACCAGGGTGGCCGAGAGACCCTGGCCCACCCCCAGGGTCCTGGCCTCACATGCCCTGCTCGTCCAGCTCTTCCCCAACGCGGCCGGACATGTGCTTCAGAACCTGGATGCTCCCAGACACCATCTCCAGCTGTTGATCCTGTTCGTCCATGATCAGCTGCAGAGCCAAGGGGTGGGAGGTGCTGTTGAAAAGGACCCCAGAAGGCCAGGCGCGGTGGCTCATGACTGTCATCCCAGCACTTTGGGAGGCCGAGGCAGGTGGATCACTTGAGGCCAGGAGTTCAAGACCAGCCTGGCCAACATGGTGAAACTCCAACTCTCCTAAAAACATAAAAATTAGCCAGGCATTGTGGTGGGCGCCTGTAATCCCAGCTACTCAGGAGGCTGAGGCAGGAGAATCGCTTGAAGCTGGGAGGTAGAGGTTGCAGTGAGCTGAGATCACGCCACTGCACTCCAGCCTTGGCGACAAAGCAAGACTCCATCTCAACAACAACAACAACATAAAGGGACCTCAGACTTCAGATCGGTCTGCAAGACTCTCCCCTCCCTGGATCCACCCCACCGGCCCCAAAACCTGCTGTGTGGCCTGCTGCTCTTCGATGTAGCGAGACGTGGCCGAGACTGCACTGGCATCCAGCAGGTCGCTGAGTGACTTCTGGGGAGCTGGCTTGCCTGCCAGGATCTGCAGGGGCACACGACATAGGCTCGGGGAGGGACCCCAACTCCCAGAGGGGCATGGGGGACAAATCCCCACAGTGGTGAGTCAGGGAGGCAGACTCTGGGGCAGGAAAGCCTGCATTCCCCACTCACCACTTACTAGCAAGGTGACCCAGAGACCCCGTCATTTGACTTCCTTGTGCCTCAGATTCCTCATCTGTAAAATGCAGAGAACAGGACGGGCATGCTAGCTCAGGCTTGTAATCCCAGCACTTTGGGAGGCAGAGGTGGGCAGATCACTTGAGGTCAGGAGCTTGAGACCAGCCTGGCCAACATGGTGAAACTCCATCTCTACTAAAAGTACAAAAATTGGGCTGGCTGCAGTGGCTCATGCCTGTAATCCCAGCTCTTTGGGAGGCCGAGGCAGATGGATTACAAGGTCAAGAGTTTGAGACTAGCCTGGCCAACATGGTGAAACCCCATCTCTACCAAAAATACAAAAAGTAGTCAGGTGTGGTGGCGGGTGCCTGTAATTCCAGCTACTCGGGAGGCTGAGACAGGTGAATTACTTGAACCTGGGAGGCGGAGGCTGCAGTGAGCCGAGATCACACCACTGCACTCCAGCCTGGGTGACAGATTAAGACCTTCTCTCAAAAAATAAAAAAATAAAATAAAAAATAATAAAATAAAATAAAATAAAACAACATAAAATAACATAAAATAAAATAAAATAAAATAAATACCAGGTGTGGTGGTGCACGCCTGTAATCCCAGCTACTTGTGAGGCTGAGACAGGAGAATCACTTGAACCTGGAAGGTGGTAGTTGCAGTGAGCTGAGATCACACCACTGCATTCCAGCCTGGGTGTCAGAGTGAACTTGCCTCAAAAAAAATAAATAAAATGGGAAGTTTTCTGGGTTGAAATGAGGATTTAAAGAATTAATTCAAAGGCCGGGCGCGGTGGCTCAAGCCTGTAATCCCAGCACTTTGGGAGGCCAAGGCAGGTGGATCACAAGGTCAAGAGATCAAGATCATCCTGGCTAACACGGTGAAACCCCGTCTCTACTAAAGAAATACAAAAAACTAGCCAGGTGAGGTGGCGGGTGCCTGTAGTCCCAGCTACTTGGGAGGCTGAGGCAGGAGAATGGCGTAAACCCGGGAGGCGGAGCTTGCAGTGAGCTGAGATCTGGCCATTGCACTCCAGCCTGGGCGACAGAGCGAGACTCTGTCTCAAAAAAAAAAAAAAAAAGAAAAAAAGAATTAATTCATGGGGGACCACTTAGAGCAGTACCCAACACATAGTAATGCTAGTAAATGTCACATTTTACTATTTATTTATTTCGGGGGGGATTTTAGCTGGGATTACAAGCACCTGCCACCACATCTGGCTAATTGTTGTATTTTTAGTAAAGATGGGGTTTCCCCATGTTATCCAGGCTAGTCTCGAACTCCTGACCTCAAGTGATCCACCCGCCTCGGCCTCCCAAAGTGCTGGGATTATAGGCGTGAGCTACTGCACCTGGCCCAACAGATGTTTGTTTGTTTGTTTGTTTATTTGAGACAGCGTCTTGCTCTGTCACCTAGGCTGGAGTACACTGGTGTGATCTGGGCTCACTGCAACCTCTACTTCCCGGGTTCAAGCAATTCTCCTGCCTCAGCTTCCCAAGTAACTGAGATTATGGGTGTTCACCACCACGCCTGGCTAATTTTTGTATTTTTTGTAGAGACAGGGTTTCATCATATTGGCCAGGTTGGTCTTGAACTCCTGACCTCAGGTGATCCACCTGCCTCGGCCTCACGAAGTGCTAAGCTTTTAGGTGTGAGCCACCATGCCCGGCTTCAACAGATGTATTTTAGAGTTTGGACTTCAATTCCCCCAAGGCAGCACATCTGGAAGGCATGTGGGCACAGCTATGGGATGACAAACTGGTAGGACCCTCCCTGAC